AGGTGCTGGCTTCTCTACAATTGTGCAAAGGTGTTGGATACTCCTGCACAAAGTCCCGACCTTAATCCCATAGAGAATCTGTGGGCTGATCTCAAAAAAAGGACAGCCAAGCGACGTCCAACAAACAAAAGCGATTTGAAAGCCTGTATATTAGAGGAATGGGAGAAGACACCGGTGGAATATGTGCAAAAACTAATCAATTCCATGAGTAGACGGTTGGAAGCGGTCATTGAAGCCAATGGGGGTCATACTAAATACTAATTTTGATACTTAATATAATTAATAGTGCCTTATTTTGAATACTTTATTTTTGTGCAAACACTTTCGTGTCAGTTGAATTTGAATATCTTTTATGTTGTTATTGTTATTTAAGCCTATGTTAATAGTTTTTTAATTTTTTTAAAGTTATTTTTGTAAGACAACAAATTGAAAAACATAATGTAATTTAAAAAAAATTAGAAATATCATATTTAGTAGTTTTTTTTTAATGTCAAAGAACAAAATTGCTATTTTTTTCCCAAGTGAAAACACTTTCGTGTCAAACTGTATGTACATACTCCCAAGCATCCAATGTGTTGTATTCAATACTTCCGAATATCATAGGAGTATACTGCCATCATAACAGATTATAGACTAGTAGTGCGATTACCTATGTATCATGCAGATAGTATCCAAACTTGTATATGCTATATATCATATCATATATCACATTATATATTATAAATATTTCCATTTATGAGTTCTAAAAGTTAAGTACCAGTTCCATATGCCTGAACTCTTTACTCCCGATCATACCATATCGTGTCATATAGGTGAAACATATACTACTGGTATCATATCATGTGGTAACATATGATTATATCATATAAGTTGTTAGTAATATATCATATAATATTAGAGCATTTCTACCACAGCCATATCATACAACTAGAATCAAATATTTGGTACTTCATAAAAACTAGGATATCTTATGTTCCATCTCATATGTATATCGTATATTATCATATATGAGTATCTCATCGTGTAGTAGTGCAGCTATGGGGATTCATACTTCCAAACTTTCAAGAATATATCGTATTTAATTATGATCAGATCACAGTGCTATGTCCAATCTCTGATGTGCCATATCATAAGACCAGTTCCATATCTTTTATACGCATATCCTTAACTCGATCCCAAATTCTGGTTTGCCATTCGCTCAGGGATTGCTGCAGGAAATATGCCGTCGTTTGGATACTGCTGGTGCTGACGATTGTAGGACTCACGCTGGGCCTGATCTTTGGGCTGACCAACGAGACGGAGCGACGTCGTATTGGTGCCGTTGCCTCCAATGGCGTTGGCTGTGCCGAGATCGGTGGCACCATATTGGACGAGGGTGGCTCGGCAGCCGATGCAGCCATTGCCACAATGTTGTGCGAGGGCGTTGTGCTGCCGCACAGCATGGGCTTGGGTGGTGGCTTCACTGCCACCATTTACACCAAGGAAACCGGCCGCATGGAGGTGTTGATTGCGCTTGAAACGGCGCCAGCTGCAGCTACAGAAGACATGTTCGTTGGCCAGGAGAATATCAATGGGACAATAACGAGTGGTGTGCCCAGTGCGATCTACGGTTACTGGAAACTGCATCAAAAATATGGCAAGTTGCCCTGGGAGCATCTCTTTGAACCGACTATCGAAATGTGTCGTCGTGGTATTTTGGTCTCACGCCATTTGGCTGTCGCTTTGGCCAACAATGAGGAGCATATTCGCAATGAGATCTCTATGTCAGAGGTCTTTATTAATCCGGCTACTAATGATCCATATAAGGAGGGGGAGATCATGTACCGACATGTTTTGGCAAATACACTGGAAATTGTTGCTATAGAAGGGCCGGAGGTTATTTATCGCGGTGGTCGCATTGGCCGCATGCTCACCGAGGATATAAAGGCCACGGGTGGCATTATTACCGAACAAGATCTAAAAGATTACGAGTGAGTCCAATTTAAATTTTGTAGTCATTTAGAGAAGTCGACAAACGAAAACAACCTTTCAACGACTAACGACTGTTAACAAACGTTTAACAACACTATTGCTTATCGATGGCAAATGATTGAATTTGTGATGAAGCGCTGCCAGTTTACCGCGTCATTTTTGAATTGCTGTTAAGCAATTGTTATTAGAAAATGCAGCTAAATAATAATGTTATTAATTCAAGTATTCATATTTTATAATTAATATGAATATATTCTTAAGCGACAGCATTGTTGTGCRCCATTATTGATATTTGTAAACGAAAATAACATTTTCAATACGTTATTGCAATAATTAATCGATAAGCTTCAGATGTGGTGCTGCCAGACTGTCACATAGCTTTAAATTTTCAGTTATTTGTTATTTTCAGAATTGTTATAATTCAACTGATTAATATATATTTTCTTTCCACTAAAGTGTACGCTGGGAAAAACCTCTACGCGCTCGCATCAACAATGGCCATGAGTTGTTTACATCGCCATTGCCCAGCAGCGGAGCCGTATTAGCCTTTATCTTGAACGTCATGGAACCAATGTATGTGAGCAGCAGGGACAAGTATTGGCATCGTTTGATTGAGACGTATAAGCATGCGTTTGGGTATCGCACCAAATTGGGTGACATTCACTTTGAGCCCTCGGTGCGGGAGATCTACAAAGATCTAATCAATCCGAAATTTGCAGCCAAGATTCGTAAGCTCATCTTGGACGATCGAACGTTTGAAGATATCTCTTACTACGGAGCCAATTACAGCAATGTCGAAGATCATGGCACGGCTCACATTTCTGTGCTGGCGCCCAATGGAGATGCCATCTCGGTGACCAGCACAATTAACGGACCCTTTGGTGCCAAGGTGAGATCCCGTCAAACGGGCATCATACTGAACAATGAGATGGACAACTTCTCGAAGCCGGACGTAATGAGTGCCTTCAATATACCCGCCAGTCCGGCCAACTATATAAAGCCCGGCAAGCGTCCTATGTCCTCTATTTGCCCCAGCATCGTACTCGACGATGGCGGCAATGTGGCGCTGGTGGTGGGCGGTGCCGGTGCCTTCAAAATAACTACCTCAGTGGCACAAGCGATTCTCCACTATTTCGTACTGCGCGAGCCCATCCAGGAGGCGGTCAATAGCGGCCGGTTGCACCATCATCTGCTGCCCATGGTGATCGACGCGGAGCCGGAGGTGCCCAAACATACCATCAATTACTTGCTCAATCTCGGTCACAATGTCAACATTCTGACCAAGGATACAGCTTTGACAGCCATTGGCTACATGGAAGATGAGCCGGAGCCCGTTTGCGACCATCGGCGCATTGGTAGCGCCGTTGTCGTTGAGCTCACCAATGATAATTGAACCGAGATCTCAGCATAAAGCACACACACCTCTATTGTTATATCTCAGTTATCAACTATCTATTATTAATTACAGTTCGGAATAAATTTTAAAACCTTTGCTATTTATGCACTCATATCTGAAGTCATAGAGCTCTAGCTTAAATATTCACTGAGTTCCATGGGGTTGACGGAACTAATCTAAGAGTATTACAATAAAAAATTGATAAAGAAATGTTAGCGAATAGCAATTGAATGTGCAAGAAGAACGGACTGTGAAGGTAGAGTGTGCTAGTACTATAAGTGAGAGTGAGAGAGAAAACGAGCCTTTGGGAGGGATAGAGATAAAGAGTTAGAGAGAAATGTCTATATAGATAAAGTAAACTCTAACTATACACATAGAGGAAAAAGTTTGAGTCTATTGATATTATGAGAAACAACTTTGCAGTCGAGTACAATAAGATCGAGAGAGAGAGAGATAGAGAGACAGGGAACTAAAGAAAAGGAGCATACCAGAGATTGAGACTGATAATATATAGGTTCATAAATATAAACAAAAATCTAAATGTTATAAGTTTAAGATTTTTCTATTTACACCCGTTCAATACAGACCTACAAACGTAGTACTCTATTAGAAGACCAATCCTGAATAGTGTCAAAAAGTGTATGTAGGGAACGTATACTATGTATATGTGTATACGAAGAGCTTGAATTAAAGGCAGAGTTAAAATAATGTATCCAAAATGGATAAATAAAATTCTGTTTATTTTTTAAATTCATCATGTATATATATAATATATAGACGATAAATATATATACATATAGACTATATACTATATATATATACACGCACATATATTTTTAACAGAAATTGCATTAGCAAAATAGGTTTTCCATGATAGCGTGATACCATGATTCGTATATAGGAACAACTTACAGTTATATGTGTTGCAACGGGATTTATAAATGTATACAAAAAAAAAAAAAAAAAAAAAAAAAAAAAAAAACAAAAACAAACTGAGATATTCAATTGGATTGTAAGTGTACACTAAAATTGTGTTTGGCTTAGCAAAAATATGACATCAATATTTACATTCTAAATTCTTATTTCTTATCTATCCAATTTGCTATTTTTCACTTGTATATAAAATTTTGGTCTAGCACTTAACTACGGCACCGAATTAAGGTAACTAAGATTAAAACAAAAACGGGATGAGGTTATAACTCAAGAATTGATTAATTAAATTAAACAAGTTAACAAACTTAAAATTAAACCGACGCCAGCAATAAACAAAAATAAATGATTAACCCAAGTTTCGTCTCGGAGCAACAGTTCCAAGCTGAGCTGGGATTTTGAAGGCATGTCCAGGCTGGTGATGTGATGGCGTCGGCAATGTGTTGAGATGTGGCGCCTCCACAGTGGCAGGCGCAGAGCACAGTGTTCTTGAGTTCTTGTTAACTTGAGAGCTTGTGATTTTGTGATTTGTCTTTCTAGTCTTCGATGCGTGAGCCACGCTTTTTAGCCATCTTACGTTTCTTGTGTAAGGCCTCCATGCGCATATCTTCCAGATCCTCCTGTAAACCTGTAGCAAAAGAAACAGTTGAGTCTGTCTATCCACATGCCAACCACATACAACCATCAGTATACCTACCTAATTTCTTACTAATAAACTCCTCACGCTGCACTTGAGCAAAGCTGGACTCCATTTCAGCATCATCGTCGTCGAGGTCGCGATAGCGACGCTTGTCATAGCCAAATATGTCGCGAATATGCGACGATATATCCTCGGTGCAGTCCCCATCGTCGATAAAGTCATCCAATTCGGAATCATATTCTGAATCATCATCATCATAATCGTAAATGCGACCTAAATGCGAAAATTATATGTTTATCATTCATATGCATTATAAATATGCCGAGATCATAGTTTACGAATCTGACTTGTATATATATACTTACTCTTATACTAATCTTATTTAGTATAAGTAGTATACAATACTTAAACAACTGTTTTAAAGCAAAGGTCAAAAATAGCTTAGGAGCTACGAAAAAAAGAAGAATAAGAATAAATATAAATATTCTTTGAATTATATATATATAAATTGAAGTAGACTTAACATGCAATACAACTATATTGTCTTAAAAAAAAAAAAAAAAAAAAAAAAAAAAAATTAACAATTTTGAGCGTTTCTTTAAAACGAAAATGTTCTCATTGGATTTATCACATATTGAATATTCATTGAAATATGCTCTCTTAAAGCTTACTTAAATTAAAATAAAATAAATAAATACTGGCTTGGGTAAATTAATTACACTTACGTTTGTTGCCGGTTTCCATTGGCTTGCGTCCTGCTGTCGGTGGTGGACGACGGCCAGCCGCTGTAGCTCCTCCGCCACCTGCTCCAGTGGCTCCTCCCGATCCAATAGGTTTACGTTGAGCTGCGCGCTGCATATCCGGCGGTGGAAATGCACGAGTTTTGGAAACATCACGAGTTTTGGATGCATCACGAGTTTTGGATGCATCACGAGCTTTGGATGCAGTACGAGATTTGGATGCATCGAATAAGTCACGATTCCTGGGTTGATCACGACGCGATCCTTCACGACCCTTGGATATATCCCGTGGCGGAAATTCACGAGTTTTGGATAAGTCACGTGGTGGAAATTCACGGGTCTTGGATAGATCACGTCGTGCCACTTCACGAGAGCGGGATAGATCACGTGGCGGAAATTCACGTGTTACTCCACTCTTAATTGCAGCAGCATAAGGATTGCGAGATGGAGCAGTTGCATTGCCCTTGGCAATAGTCGGAGAAGCTGAAGCAGCAGCACCTGCTGTTGCTGCACGCTTGGCAGCATTGTTGTTGTTGGTGCCATTTGTTGCCTTTGCATTGGCGCTGGGCGCTCGCCTCTTGAGGCTATCACTAGATTGCTTGACTTTGGACTCAGCTGGAGTAGCTGCACCAGCAGCATCACCAGCAGCTGTAGGTGCTTTATTCAGCTTTGGTATACGTCCATTGAGCGTCATGCGACCTGGTTGGTTGGCGACGCCATTCTCTTTGCGCTGCTCCTTGGCCTTGGCTTCCAATTCACGCTGGCGATCGCGCTGGGCGCGCTGCTCCTTATACTTTTGACGTTCCTCAAGCTCGCGCTTTTCGCGAGCGGACAGCAGACGCTCCGGCTCCTTCTTCTCCGGAATGGCAATGTTGACCGGCTCGTGCTGCTTCTGCTCGGCCAGACGCAGCAAAGCCTGAAAATCCATAGGTGGTGGCTGTGGGGGTCGCTTGACCTTGGGCTTCTTTTGCTCCTCCTCGCGCTTCTTGCGTTCCTCTTCACGGCGTTCGGCCTCCGGATCATAGAGCTTCTTGTCCCCAGTATTTTGAGCGCGCACCGCCGACGGGTCCCTCTCACGGCGAGGAGTAGCATTGCTGTTGCGTTGGCGTGTATGAGATTTGGCTTCCTCGCGTTCGCGTGTGATGGCCGCCTTGACGCGCTCCTTGGTGCCAGACAGATCGCGCACAGATTGTGGACGGCTGGGCGCAAAGCCCTTGTCCTCCTGCACGTCCTTCACCTTCTCAATGTATTTCTGATAGAAGGCATTGGCCTCTGTCGACACATAGCCATAATCATCGCCCTCCGTCTGATCAGCACCGTTCAGTGCCGAATTATCACAGTCCTTAGCATCCTCTAGCACCGATTTGTTGGCTGATTTGGTGACTTTCAGCATTTTACGTATTTTGTTTTTTGACTTCTCGTCACGCATGGCCAGCAAATTGTTCAGCTTCTCGCGATCCTGTCGCTTGCGTTCCATCTCCTCAGCTTCGCGTTTCTTTAGAAATTTTTGTATATTGGTGGACAGCTGTTTGCTTTCCTTGCTCTCCTTTTTAGGGGGAGCATATTTAGTGCTATAAAATTTTCCCTGTTGGAAAAAATAATAAAAGCAACCGTTACCGTTAGCCACTGTCAATGGGTGAGATTATCTAGTCCACTACCCACGAAAAGCATAAGATCTTATTTATGTGTTTTTTTTTTTGGGTCATTGATGACCCAATTGTATGATCGAAATGCATTTTGAGAATGTAAACATATTGCAACAGTTCGCCGTGGTAGTTGCACCTTCTTGTTCATATGTAGCTGTGTGTTGTTTACTGTTTACTGGCTCTTATGATTATTAGATATCTGCATCTTAGCCGTACCTTAAGTTTCTAAAAATTTATAGCGAAAGCGTTTATAAACTCACCTCTTCTTTAGTGGCTGCATCGTTGTTCTTCTTGGCAAAGTGCAACAGTGCACCGAAATCCATAGTGGGTTTTATATTTTATTAAATTTTCGACTATTTTTTGTTGATTTGCTTTTCAAAAGAATGAAAATCGTTTGAATTATAATTCTTTGTTCGAGACGTGTGTCGTTGTCAGCTGAAAACTCTAGAAAGACTAAGGGATAGTGATGTGACGAGCGACGACACTTGATGTCGATGAATCACAACAAGTATTTGACAAGTAATAGTGTTAAAAATATCGATAATCGGTAGTGTTGAGAGTGTTGCGGAATATTAAGTCGATACACCTTGTACTTGCACAATCGTACAGTGTTTGCAAACTATCATTTTAGTGAGAATGATTACACTAATTCTTTTATTATTTTGATATGAAATGAATTTATCGCTGATAGAATTGCATCTGTTGAGTGAATTTTATATATAAAAATACAAGGCATTAACAAATATATTAGTTATCCAAGCCCTCGTCAGCTCGATCACAATCAATTTAAATTTTGGCGCTTGCCAGTGCTTGTAAATGTCAAATGTAATCGGTATATCTAACTCTTATTTCGTTATTATTGTTTATATCACAACAGCCACAATGAGCGCCTTAAAATTAATGTACAAATTATATGCCTACGCTGGTAGAAGTAATTTAGCAGGCGCCACACGTTTGCTACATCCTGCACACAGTCCTGTCCAACGTCATTACCATTTGCTGGCCATAACAGCTTTACCAAATAATAAATACACGTGCCTGCAGCGCGCTTCCTTCAGCGATAAACTTGAGACGAAAAATGTAAATATGCAAATATGTAGGAATGCAACTATATACTGATATATAAATATGCATCTACTACAGCAAGATGAGCACAATAAGCGCGTTGCCACCAATAGTATACCACTGGCTGAGCTGCAGACCAAGATGCAGCTAATCTATACGTGCAAGGTATGCCAGACCCGAAATATGGAGACCATATCAAAGGTGGCCTATAATAAAGGTGTCGTTATTGTCACCTGCAAGGGCTGTGCGAATCATCATCTAATCGCCGACAATCTTAACTGGTTCACCGATCTCAATGGCAAACGGAACATTGAGGAAATACTGGCCGAGAAGGGAGAATACGTTACAAAAATTGTCAGTGATAGACATGAATATTTGCCAAATAATTAAAGAAGATGACAAAAGATATCTGCATTCAGTTTAGCTATAGACGTAAGCAACTTTATTGAGCAGGTCCGTGAGCTGCGCGAGCACCGGTGATGGCAGCGACTTTAGCTGCGCATAGAATTGACTGCGACACGGCGATTTGGGCTTGAGCAGCAAATGCGTCAAGTAGAGCATCTCCTCCAGTGGCAGTTCCATGGTGGAGCATTGCATATCATCCAGCTGTAGATGTTGCAGCACTCGCTGATGCTGCCAGTAGTCTTGTAAATAGCTGCCCAAGGCGCCAGCGAAGCGCAAATGCATGAGCCAGCAGTAGAGCCGAGAGAGATTGCCAGAGCAGTTGTCGCTGGCAACGAAATTGTAAATGTTGTGTACAAAACAAACGCTGGCCGAGCATGCTGTGCCGCCTTCGTTTAGCATATCACAGATCATCTGCCGCAACATATAGCACCGCGTATATAGCAGACTCTCCTTGGGCTCGCGGAATAGTTGCAGCCAGAGATCACAGTTTCGAATGAGCTGCATGGAACGGGCGAGTGCTATTTTGATATCCTGCATTGTGCTCAGCCGGCAGATGCGTCGCACCAACTGCCGCATTTGCAACGTGTGGACATTTAGTTCCATTGCTGTCGCGGCGTCCAACGTCGCATTGTTATCTCTGTTCCTGGCCATGGCTGACCAATCCATATCTTTGATTATAGACCACTCCGGCTGCAGTTCCGCATATGCCTTGTGCATTTGATATAACAGTGGCGCGTGTGTGTGGCCATTGCGCGTCCCATTGATAATGTTGGCGCACAGCTCCTGAATGCACTGTTTTCGATCTGTTTCAATGTTATTGTAGAAGCGTCGTATAATCGCATGCGCTTGAATGCATTGCATCAGCACAGCCTCTACCAGTTTGTCGCCATACTGGGCATGGCATTCAAATAAATATAATGTCGCCTTAAACATGCACTCGATGTCCGTGTGGCTGAGCTCTAGATGCTTTGGCTGTCCCACTTGCATTTGCTCTTGGCAATCGAGTAGCCAAAGAATCAGCTTGACGGAATGCTGTGCAGCTTGATCTAACGTTAAGTCACTGTCCACAGTCAACTCATTTCGGATATACACATCCATTATCACAAATTTCCTTTTCAAATGGTATTTACATTAAATTCTTAATTTCTACAGATTCTGTTAACAGTCTTCACTTATCGATATCGCTCTGATCTTATTTAACAGTTCTGTTAACCCGATGATTATACACAGTGCTGCCAATTATTTACACGCGACCCTTTTTCAAAAAACCACGGCCCAACTCTCTTAATTCAAATAAGTTTAAGGAATACAGCAAACGACTTTTGTATTTTTTGTAATTTATTATAATATATACATACATATTATATATATGTGGAGTTCGCCAATAATTCATTTCTTAGGCTCTCTGTTGTTCTTCTAAATATAAGATACAACATAAAATATATAACGTAAGCTTATAGTTATATCAAATACCTCTATGCCTTTCCGTTTTCCTTTTCTTACTCGTGCATATTTCATTATTTTTATAGTTTTTCAGTTAAATTTTTAATTTTTTTTTTTTGTTTTTCTATATTATATATAAACAAGAATCAAAGCGTAATGTGCATGTTTCGCATTTGCTTTGCTTCATACATATCCACATCTTGAGGATATGCTTCGACTTAAGAAAATAGAAATATATTAGTTATATTTTTGTTTTCGTATTAGTTTTACTTTTTTTTCCAAATATGGATAAAAAAAATAATAAAATTAAGAAAACAGCTCTGAATACATTGATGTTGACTGATATACATTTTTTTTCTCTCTCCCCCTCTTTTATCATCATATTGATGAAAGTTGTTCATCTTTGTGTGCATCTTCATTTTTACTGTTATCTTCGGCTTCATTAATTGCCCTATCATTCTTTTTGAAAAATTATGAAAATATATAAATAAAT